CGAGGTGTAAAGGAAGTTCAAACTCCTCAGATTGAAGCTCAATTGTTCGAGCTTACGAAAGTGGTTATGATGCTAGCCAAAGATAAAGGTGTGCAACTCACACCCCGCCCATGCGGTATTTGCACTCAAGTGGGGCATCCAACCGATATGTGCCCATAACTTCAAGAGGAAGGTTATGAAGAAGCAAAATTCATGGGAGGCTATTCTGGGTCAAATCAGAGAGGTTATGAACAACCACGAGGTGATCAGATATGGAACAATAATCAGGGTTGGAGAGGAAATCAACAAGGAAATTATCAGTCAAAACAATCACATCAATAACAGCAAAGACCGCCATTTCCTCAAAATCAGCAAAAACCACCCTTCCAACCTCAAAATTACCAGCCAAGGCATCCACAACAACCACCACCACAAGCAGGTTCTTCAAGCATGCCACTAGAAGATATTGTCAAAAGCCTTGCCACAAGCACTCAAAGCTCCCAACAAGAAACCAAGGCAAGCATAAAAATCTTGGAGCAACAAGTGTCACAACTTGCTCAATCCGTGAGTAAGATGGAATCACAAGGCAAGCTACCATCTCAAACGGAGAAGAACCCAGAACACAATGATTTTGCCATTACTCTAAGAGGTGGGAAAAGCTATGAAGGTCCAAGGATGTCGGATGAAGAAGAGAAAGAGAAGGAGATAGAGGCGGAAGAAGCTATCAAAGAATAGGAAAGGAAAAGCACTTCCAAGTCAAAGAAGCTCATAGAGACCGAGGTAAAAGTCACACCAGCTCCATTTCCTTCAAGGTAAGCAAGCACCAAAAGAGAACGGGAAGATGATGAAATCATGTCCATGTGTCGAAAGGTTGAAATCAATATCCGTCTTTTAGATACTATTACACAGATTCCTAGATATGCTAAGTTCCTCAAGGAACTTTGCACAACTAAGAAAAAGCTTAAAGGAAATCAAACTGTGAAAGTTGGTGAAAATGTCTCAGCCGTGTTACAAAAATGGCTACCAAAAAAATGCAAGGACCCAGGTGTTTTCACGGTTCCTTGTAAAATGGGTAACCTTTTTGTACCACGTGCCATGCTTGATCTTGGAGCATCAATTAATGTTTTACCCTATTTAAGTTATAAGACAATGGGAATTGGACCTTTATTAAAAACCGGAGTTACCATTTAACTTGCCGACCGGTCTTTGGTACACCCGAAAGGTGTATTGGAGGACTTGTTAGTACAAGTTAATGAACTTGTATTTACCGATGACTTTATGTTTTGGATAGGGGTGATGAAAACACCCCACAATCGAATTCCATCCTTTTGGGGAGACCTTTTATGAGTACCGCAAAAACAAATATAGATGTAGCCAATGTCAATGGAGTTCGATGGTGAGGTGATTAACTTTAATATCTTTGAAGCCATGTGATATCCTAGTGATATTCATTCTTTAAACTTCATAGATGTTATTGATACATGTACTAATGATTTCTTTGAGATTTCAAGCCAAGATGTGCTAACCACAATCTTGAGCAAACACTTTGATGAGACAAGGATTAAGAATTTGGCTGACAAGTACATATTGGAGGATGAATTGATTGAAGTAATCAATTCCTTGGAAAAATAACAACCCATGAGAGTTGCACCACCCTGCATGAAGCTAAAAAGTTCCAATCTGAAACTTATCCCCTCCATAGTACAACCACTGATTCTTGAGTTGAAGAGTCTTCCCGACCATCTCAAGTATGCCTATCTTGGAGAGGAAAAGATATTACCGGTGATAATTTCCAACAAGTTGTATGTTGTGGAAGAAGATGAGTTGGTGACCCTATTAAAGAAGTTTGAGAAAGCTATTGGGTGGACAATTTCTGATATAAAAGGGTTGAGCCCTTCTTTGTGTATGCATAAGATTCTCATGGAGGAAGATTTCAAACCAACTCAAGAGGCGCATAGGAGATTGAATCCACCCATGATGGAGGTGGTAAAGAAAGAAATCATGAAGCTTTTGGATGCAAGTATGATATACCCTATCTCAGACAGTAAATAGGTGAGCCCCGTTCAGGTAGTTCCGAAAAAAGTCAATGTCACAGTGGTTAAGAATTTCGAGGTAGATTTGGTGCCCACCCGTGTGCAAAATGGGTGGAGGGTTTGTATTGACTATAGAAAGTTGAATGCCTCAACGATAAAAGACCATTTTCCCTTGCCATTTATTGACCAAATGTTAGAGAGATTGGCAGGTAAATCTCCTTACTGTTGTTTGGATGGTTTCTCGGGTTTTCATCAAATTCTAGTAACCCCGGAAGACCAATAGAAAACAACCTTTACTTTTCCCTTTAGCACATTTGCTTATAGGCGTATGCCTTTTGGTCTATGCAATGCACCCACGACATTTCATAGATGCATGATGATCATTTTTTCTGAATATGTTGAAAACATCATTGAAGTTTTCATGGATGATTTCACAGTATATGGAAACTCTTTTGATGAATGTTTGAGTAATCTAACAAAAATTTTGCAAAGGTGCATTGACACAGACCTTATGCTTAACTATGAAAAATGCCATTTCATGGTGGACAAATGATTGATTTTAGGTCATATTGTGTCCCAAAAAGGCTTGGAAGTTGACAAATCCAAGATAGATGTTATCAAGAGTCATCCTTACCCGACAAATGTTCGGGAAGTTCGTTCGTTTCTTGGTCATGCAGGTTTCTATCGGTGGTTCATCAAAGATTTTTCAAAGATTACAGTGCCGATGTGTCAACTACTCCAAAAAGATGTTGAATTTGCGTTTACTCAGCCATGCAAGGATGCCTTTGATCGTTTGAAGGATTTACTCACCTCCGTGCCAATCATCCAACCACCTAATTGGGAGCTTCCATTTGAGATTATGTGTGACGCGAGCAACACGGCTGTTGGGGTGGTATTGGGTCAAAAGGTGGATCAAGAACATCATGTCATCTACTATGCATCAAAGACCCTTGATAGTGCACAAGGCAACTACACCACAACGGATAAATAGTTGCTTGCTATTGTCTTTGCTCTAGAGAAGTTCCGACAGTACCTCCTTGGAACTAAAGTGATCATATATTCAGACCATGCAGCCATAAAGCACTTACTTACAAAGAAAGATTTGAAGCCGAGGTTAATACGGTGGATGCTACTTTTGCAAGAGTTTGATATTAAGATCAGAGACAAGACTGGAAAGGAGAATTTAGTTGCGGATCATCTAAGCCACATTGTATCTACTGAAGATGGTATACCAATCTGTGACACATTTCCATACGAGCATCTATTTGTAGCCAAAGAAGCACCATGATATGCAGATATCATCAATTTTTTGGTCACAAGTTAATTTCCCCCGGATTCGTCCCATTGGCAAAGAGATAAAATCAAGAAGGAGGCCTAGCGATACATATGGGATGAGCCATACCTTTGGAAGTACTGTTCAGATCAAATAATCCGAAGGGGTGTTGAGCAGAAAGAGGTAAAATCTATCCTTAAGTTTTTCCATTCTTATGCTTGTGGTGGTCACCTTGGACCCCAAATGATAGCTAGGAAAGTTTTAGATAGCAGATTTTTTTGGCCTTCTATATTTCATGATTCTTAAGTGTTTTGTGCACATTGCGAAAAGTGCCAAATATCCGGATCTTTAAGCTCTAGGAATCAAATGCCCCTTACTCTCATTTTAGTGTGTGAGATATTTGATGTATGGGGTATTGACTTTATGGGACCATTTCCGCCCTCTTTTGGTTGTTCATACATTTTATTGGTGGTGGACTATGTGTCCAAATGGGTGGAGGCTAAGGCCACCCGTACTAATGATTCCAAAGTTGTAGATTTTCTTAAGGTATAGATTTTCTCACGGTTTGGCACACCAAAGGCATTCATAAGTGACCATGGGACCCATTTCTGCAATCGGATGCTCGAAGTTGTTTTGAAGAAGTATAGGGTAACACACAAAGTCTCAACAACTTCTAATCCCCAAACAAACGGACAAGTCGAGATCTATAACAGGCAACTCAAAAGCATCTTGGAGAAAACGGTCAACCCAAACCGCAAAGATTGGAGCATAAGGTTAGATGATGCCTTAAGGGCATACCGTAGTGCCTTTAAAACCCCGATTGGTATGTCCCCATATAGGCTAGTTTTTGGAAAAGCATGTCATCTTCCGGTTGAGCTTAAACATAAAGCTTTTTGGGCTGTAAAGAAATTCAACATGAATGAAGATGAGGTGGGAAACAAAAGGAAGCTAGACATTCAAGAGTTAGAGGAGATTCGGAATGATGCGTACGAAAGCAACATGATTTATAAAGAAAAGACAAAAGCGTACCATGACAAAATGATCTCCCATAAGACTTTTATGCAAGGACAAAAAGTGCTTCTTTACCACTCAAGGTTCAAGTTAATTTCAGGAAAATTACAATCAAGATGGGTTGGTCCTTTCGTGGTCACAAGGGTATTTGACCATAGTGCGGTGGAAATCACGAGCAATCAAATCGGTAAAACATTACAAGTTGATGGTCATAGATTAAAGCCGTTTTATGAAGGATTCGAGGTGAAGAATGAGGAGGTTGATGTGTTGGAGAGCCCCACGTACCAAGACTGAAGCATACTCGGGGGCAAAGTCGAGCCAATGACTTAAAACAAGGGCAGCTAACCGGGAGGCAACCTGGGGGTATTTTTGTCATTTTTCATTAAAACATTCCGTTCTTTGCATTTTTTCTATGGTTTTAATGTTCCAAATGTGTTTTATCATTGTTTCCAAACCAAAAAAATGGACCTTGGGATGCAAAAGCATTTCATTTCAAAGAGAGGGAATTTTTAAGTTCAAAAAGTGAGGGAATAGCATACAGAGAGCAACACGGGTCGTGTTGGATTTTGGCCCATAGTGAACATGGGCCGTGTTCATAAAATAATGACTTTGACCCATACAGAGAGCAACACGGGTCGTGTTGAGTTTTGCCTTATACTCAACACGGTCCGTGTTCAAGCTTCAGTTAACATAAAACCCCCAACATGGGGCGTGTCGATTTAGCCTGTGGGAACACGGGTCGTGTTCGCGCATCAGACCTGGTGGTTTTTAATGAGAAAAATCGAGACTTTGCCTCATTTATCCCCACAATCACTTCATAACAACCTCTCTCTCCCAACAAAAACCCTAGGTCCGATTTTCATCAAAACCTTTCAATTTCTACAAGATTTTGGCTTACATCTCCAAAAAGGGCAAGCTTGGGGAGATTGAAGAAGATCTTTCACATCAAGAACAACACAATCCCACGCAAGATTCAGTAAATTCCTTCTAATTCTTCACTTGTGAGATTTATGTTCTTGAGTCAAATTGCTTGAAATTGTGGTCATATTGGACTTTACTCTCAATAGGAAATCATTCAAAACAAAATTTCCCGCAAAATTTTGGTGGTTGAATTCGTGTTGACTGGACCCATCAACAGTTGACTTTTTGACTTATTGACTGGTTGACTTTTAATTTGTTCCAATTTGACTATAGAAGGTGAACCTTTTAAAAGGCTTAGACACACCAAATCATCCACCCGCCGTAGTAGGCTTAGGTCCCCATCACCTCCACTTAGGACCCCATTGCCTCTATCTAGGTGCCCATCACCACCACCCAACCCGACTCATGGTGGTGTCGTGTGTCTTGGCCCAATTCAAGAGGGCAAATTTGAGTCATTCCTTCAGCTGGGTCATGCCATCCAAAAGTTTGTGCATGTGCCATCTCTTAAAGAATTGCACATTTATAAACAAGTCCAAACCCTGTTTCGCAACATAGTATGGCACGGGTTGTTAAGGGTCCACGAACTGAGTTACAAAGTCCCAACAGCTGAGTTTTTATCCTTAGTTTATTTGGACCATGGGATCCTCTACTTCCATCTCATGAATCAAGATTATGAGATTTCCTTGGATCAAATTAATGCCATTGTTGGGGACCCAACTGAAAACACATTTTTCCCCACTGACCCAATTAGAGGATACTTTGATATGACATGGTGGACCCAACTCACCCAGTTACACCGATACATCTCTAGCGTTGCTAAAGCCTCATCACTTATCCATCCCGTGATGAAGGTGGCCCAAGAATCATTGCTTCGCTCGTCGCCCCTAGAGAAGAGCGAAGCAGCATCAGCGCGCTGGAGCTCTAAATCCTTTATGAAATGGCTCATCCCAAGGACAACCCCATTCCTCATTATGGTTAATTTCTGTGCCACAAACTCATCCACCTGAGCACATCCCGATCGGAAAAGATTTATTGCGGGGGTATTGTCAGCACGCTCGCCAAGAGCACCCAAGTCTGAGCCCCATACCCCAGTCCCCACCAGCCACTGCCGGGTGAGCCTTATCTCACAACTGCTGTCCTTGAGTCCATGCGACTATTCCGTTCGGCAGTGGATGGCACACACCATTGGACTGTGGGTCAAAATCATGATCCAAAGCTCCTCATCACACCAGAAAATAAAGGCATTCTTGATTTCCGAAACCCCATTCACATGACCGATTGACAAATCATTCCATACATCTTCCCCCACTCATATTCCACTGAGGTAGATGAGCAAAGTGAAGAAAACGAGGAAGGCGGTGCTGGCGATGATGAAGAGGAGGAGGAACCCCACCGTGCTCCCCCCCACCGGTGGTGCCAACTCATCCCATTATGTTGCACCCCCGTCTTATCATCAGCAGTATATGGATGAATTCCAGTCAATCCATACCCACCTCGACACCTACCAACAAGATATTGCAAGCCTCACTCAGAGTTTCTCTTCCTTCACTACCCAGTACACTAGAGATCAAGAGCGCCAACGTAAGCATGAGGAGGACTTTTGGGCTTGGACCCAAAACTCCGATTACTATCCTTATCCTCTTCCTTCTCCGCAATAGGTTGTTCCGCCCTCTTCAAGCATCGGGGACGATGCTTATCTTTAAGCTTGGGGAGAGGTAGAGTCACATTAGGTTCATATGCATCATTATATATATATATATATATATATATATATATATGTATATATATATAATTATTTTTAACAATTTTTATTTTTTACCTTTATTCTTATTTTAAGTTTTTGCATTTCATCAATTGCATGCATTTTCAAAAAAATAAATAAATAAATAAATAAAAATAAATAATTTTATACGTGATAATGATACTCTTTACATACAAGTGCTCAATGAAGTGGGAAAATGAAAAATCAAAATGAAAAAAAAAATATAGAAGCAACCGGATTGTTGCCGGAAGTGTAGAATCAACTGTCATAACTAGGGGACCCAAACACCGTAATTCGAAACCCTAGCCTTAGATAATAAAAAGAATTTATATTGAAACATTTTTTGGGCGGTAATAACCGCTTTATGATGATTTGCTTCTGAATGTATAAAAAGAATCTTTATCGGCAACTCTGGACCACAAAACACGGACCTATTTGTTGACACGCGTTACCCCCGCGGTAACAAAGAGCTTAAGTATCAGATCTACATAGTAAAAAAAGAAGGAAGGGTACAACTGTCATATCTAGTACCCAAATCAGAATTTCAAGTGCCAAAACGAAGAAATCTCAAGAAATTCCAAAAATGAAGATTGAAGAATCCAAGTTCAAAACGAAGTACAAATCAAATCAAAAGCAAATTTAAAGTCAAATATGGCGAACGAAGAACTGTGTGATATGATAATTGTGACTCTCGAAAAAGTGAAAGCATAGGAGCTGGGCCCCTTCGGGTGGGCTCACTATTTCAGCGAAAGCTGATTCACCGTGACGGGTTCTTAAGGATCCGTCGATTCTGATTCTTGGCCATCTAGTCTTAAGGACATGAGATCTGGATTATGTTATTTTCGCCCATAAAGCTTAGTAAGGTATAAAGTTTTAATAAAACTAGAGTTAGATTATTGGGTTACACCGTTTCGGGTCTTCCTCACCTTGAGAGTCTGTGATATATGGAAGGAAGCCATCATGGTTGCCTAAATATTAATGATTGGAGCCATATTGATGTAAAGTCTGATTGAACTTACATAGATTATTTACTTGTGCCTTAAATTTCTTTTTGATACATTTTGTTCTTTAGTGCTTATGTACATACTTTTCTTTTTCCTTTCTCATGGTTTGCATTGCATGCATTCATTCCTAGTCCCTAGGACTTTCCAATTCCCTTTTGTTCTAAGTTCCTTTTTGTCATCTAGAAATCGTCCTGTTTTGTCTGTTTCTTGTTCTTTCTTGAGGAAAAAAAATGTCTAAGCTTAGGGAGATTTGTTAGGTGTATTTTATGCACCTATTTGCACAACTTTTAGTCCATTTTTATGTATGTATTTAGCTTAGTTATATTTCATTATTCTTTCATTATTATCATATTCATGTTAGTCCCTGGAACAACCTTATTTGCACACTTTCATGTCTCTTTCAGGTAAACCGGAGGTTGGAGAGCGCTTTTGGAGGTGCCGGAGGGCATTGGTGAAGATTGTGAGATGATCGGGTTCAAAACGGAAGAATTGAGAAAATCAAGTTTGGGTTCGGAGTCAGAGGGCTACACGGGGTGTGTTGAGTTTGGCCTAGAATTCGAACACGGGGCGTGTTTGATCATTCCATGCATTTTGACTTCACTGAACACGACCCGTGTTCATTTAGCCTATTTGGACACGGGGCGTGTTGGTCGAAATGAACACTTTTGAGCATTGTACTTTAGAGCTGGAATCGAGGATTGATGTTATGTTTTCATTCAACACGACCCGTGTTGATTTACTCTATTTTGACACGGGCCATGTCCGACTTAAAAACTGCCTTTTGGCAGTTTTTTTCCATCTTTCATATGTCGGGAATTGGTTCAATTTAGGGGGTATCACAACATATCATAGCACCATTGGAGAGGAGAATTCGAAGGTTTTTGCAAGGGTTTGTCCGTTAATCATTTAGAAACATTAATTCTCGTTTTTGTAAGTTGTAATTACACTTAATTTCATCTCTTAGACTTGTGATCTTGTTCTAGCCATGTGAGGCTAGAACCCTAACTTCTCCAATTTCATGTTTTGACTTTTTGGTTGTGAATCAAATCATATGACTCGATGTTTGTGTTTAATTTCTATCTAGTGAAACTGATTTTACTTCAATCGAATGTTTGATTCTAATAATGATTCTTATTGGCCATTTGAATTAGGGTTAGGTCATTCAAGTTATTCATTTTGCAAAATCCGTAATTGTTTTGTGAATTGAACTAAGTAACAAGCATTAAATTGATTTCTTATGAATGAATTTAGTGTAAATCTTTTCAAACATTCTTACGCTCCCGAGATTGTGCGGAGTATTGGGTGTTGTTAGGAACATTCATATTAAGCTTAATGCAATCTTTTAATCTACTTCTAAGAGCTTTTTTAAATTATGTTAGTAAGGTTAGTATTAATCAAAGAGCTTTTTTGATTGATTAATGTGGTGAATGGAAAGTGTTAGAGTTTGTTAACACTTTCAAGTACCAACTTAGATAGAATGAAACAAATGTCTTGTCATCTTTGATTCACATTGCTGGATTGTCATACAAGGAGTTGAAGTCGTTACAAAATCTGAACTTAATTCATTCGTTTAGTTGTCTACTCGTGTTTTAAATTGGTTTACTACATCATTACACTCAAAACCCCCCCTTATTTAATATTTTGTGAACAAATACATTACGCAAAGAGGTATATACTAATTATCCCGTGTTTCTGTGGATTGACCATACTTGTCTTGTACTACCTTTTAGTGCAATATAGTGGGATTCTTTTGGAGTATATCATACCCCTATTATTTGTTGGGTCTGACACGCCTAACAAAAAGTCTGATAAAAAAAAAACTAAAAAAAAGTTAGTATAATAAGAAAACAACAATTTACTTGAAAAAACCAAAACAAAAAAAATTAAAAAAATAAAAACACGCAAACAAATAAAGATTGATATGAGGTACAAACGGAATCAGTTGGCGAACGGCATCAGCACAAATATACGAAGCATATTGGTTATCCATCTCCCATCACCTTCTTCATCAACGATGAAGTTCACCTTAGTTATCTGAATATATTAAACTTGTTAACTAGTGAAGCAAAAAATAAAACTCATAATAGATGCAGTTTTAAGAAAGAAAAAATAAATGAAATCTAGAATACAAAATTATCCATTGTGTACGTCAAGATAACTTAATATCTTTAACATAATATCAAAGCAACATACGACTAATATGTCCTATTAATTATAACCATTTTTCTTCGATCGACGTTTTCCCCTGTTCCTCTAAAAATTCTCCATTGTAACCACTAATTCACTTTATGAATCTTCATAACTACCATCGTATTCGTCCTAATCCTTGCAATGCTCGACTGAATGTGATCTCTAGTTTGTAATCAATTTACATATTGATTCCCGGTTCTGCTCAATTTCCAACAACAAAATTAGGGTTAAAATGAATGGGTATAGAATTGTAATTGTATAAATAAAGAGATTGATAAATAATTTTGGAAACAATTATCTTCAACAATCTATAGAATTTGGGACCTGATTTATCGCATAGGAATTGAAAACTCTTAATTGTTTCCAACACGAGAGTGAGAATGAACGCGGATGGGGCACTAAGAGGCATAAATGGGCATTTTCGGAACTTCACTTGGAAACTTTGAACGGGAAAATTAAATGGGGAGAGGCTTAACAATTGTCATGTGCCAATTGGTTACTAATTTATTAAGATAGAAGAAATGAAAAAAAATTACAAAATAAAGTTTGTTTTTAGCAAAAATAACCACTTGCTCCGGATGCACATTTCGGACAAAGAAAAATCATTTTTTCTGACAAAAAAAAACATTTAGAATTGATAGTCCGGATTCCGAACATAAATTTTGGATTTCAAAAAACAAAACTCCAGAATTTCAAGAACAAGTCCAAGTCCGATGAATAATTTTCGAATTTGGAGATTTTTTCCCGTTTTTTACTTAAATCTAACAAAATTTTAAAGAAACATAGCAAAATGTGAGCTATATACGATATCAATACATAAAATCATATATTTTATTAAAAACAGTGACATTAAACATTTTGAAATGAATATTTCAGACATAATTTTTTTTTTTAAAAAATGGAAAAAAAACCAGAAAATAACTCCGAAATTTGAAGATCAAATTCGAAATAGAGCATTCAAATTTGAAGAAAAAAGAACTCTAGAATATAAACAATAGCCTAGAATGAGACATTCATAAGAAAATTATTATTATTTTTAAAAAACTATAAAAATGACTTTTTGTGAAATTTTTTATTTATAATAGTTGTTGAGACCACATTTTACACACCACCACATTCCACCATAATACACAACAATCAATCAATCATATAAAATGGTATTTGTCTTGTCTCCATTTTACCACATCAACCCCTAGCATGGTTCCTAAAATACGTACCAAAGGGCTTAAAACAGTTTTATGTGGTTTGGGCATACGGATTCGACTAGCATTCTCGTGGGTAGCATTTGAATGCGGAATCACCCGAAAGCACGGGATTCGACTTGAATTTCTTTCCGATGGTCCTATCTTATTAGAAATAAGTAAATAGTGGATCTTCGAATAGCATTTCGTGGAAATCATAGTTGGTAGTGGCTTTTTTGCTTTGACCAGGCCAAAGGCGAAAAAGAGAGAAAAAAGGCAATTCCTTCTCTTCTGTTGTCACAAGAAGGGACTAGGTTCCTAGCCAAGCCAGGGAATCTACGACCGATTGTCAAAAAATATCCCACTACGGGGTAATAAGCAAGGAAGAAGTGCCACTTTCAAAAATTCTTTTTTAGTTAAATCACCCGCCGAAGCGAATCCTTCGAAATAGCCAAGCCAGTAAGTAGAAGGGCAAGGTGACCATAGGGAAAGGCATTACCAGAAGGAAAGTAGTCCAACTCAATGTCTTACGCATCAGTGGCATTTGAGTGAAAGCAATAAGTCAGTGGTCAAGAATCATTGATTTTTGAGTTACCAGCTCAAGGCAACTCATGAGAATTTCTTTAAGTAAGAACGATCCCCAGTGTCATCCTCTTCGTCTTCTCTTTAGGAAAGCAAGTCCCATCGAGTGGAGTCAAGGCATGCCTTAAGGTAGCGACTGACTTTCAGGTGAGATAGTTCAATAGTAGATTAGATAAAGGCTCTTGCTACTTCCCATGAAGGGAGGAAAGTCAATAGCGTAGATAAGGAAGTGGCTATTCTTGTTTGTTCATGACTCCGTTGCGCTCCTCTGTCATGGAATAAGCGCCTTTTCTCTTACAGACAAAAGAAATGGATTTTTTCCGGCTAGCTCGAAGGGAAGGAAAGAGCTCTATAAGAGAAAGAGTGCCTCGAGAATAGGCTTTTGGTATTTTTACTGAAAGCAGAGGAAGCATTCGATGCATCTTATAAAAAAAAAGTGCAGCTGCCAGAGCCCCGTATTTACCAGTGGGGGTCCCGAGATATTCTATGATCAAAGGCTTTGTGGTTGTCACAAACTGGATTCGAACCAGCACCTCTGGGAGCAAAAGACAGACCCAACGAACTACCATTCAAGATAAAAAATAATTCTGTAACAAAATAATTTTTTTTATACAAATGGTTACAACAAAATAATAAGTTTTGTTATTATTATTATTTTTTTAAATTAATCACTTAAAACTGAAAATCCAATACAATTCGTCAGTGAATAAAGCATAAACTAAGTTCCATAATTGTATGATATGAATATCTATTTATAAATCACAACTATAAATTTTGATACATTTAGTTTTCTTTTTCCAAAAAATAGGAAAATAAATTCAATACCATTTTAGCATTATCATCAATGAATACAATGTTAAATTTTCTTATATCTTTATGAATGAAATTTGGGTATACATGTTTTCTTTTTCGACTATTTGTAAACAAACCATTCTTATTAATGAATGCTTTCATATTTTGAGGGTTTTTTTTTTTTAAACAAATATTCCAAAGTTTATCGTTTTATGCTCTAAGAGTAATATGCATAATTGCACATTGTATCTACTTATTATTATTGGTAGGGAATATCATTAATGTCATTAAAATATACAAAGTATTCCAACAAGCAAGTATTTGTGACACATGAGAGCAACTGTGAAAGCCATGTTTATTTATTCACAAGATTTTAACAAAAAACAGGAAAAAAAAAAAAAAGTTTTGAAGGCAATAAGTATTATACACACTATTGACGTTTTAGTTGTTGGATGGAAATTGGTGTATATAAACCTAAAAAATCAAAGGATTGGTAGGCCAAACATGGCTTAAATTCATGGGTCTATATCTTGTTGATTGAGAAAGTTAGCATTTTTCAAACATTTATTTAGTTTCCTCAAAACCAGTCAACTAACACAACCATAATCAACTACAAAATTCATTGTTTGCTTTTATACCCCACACCAAAATCCCTCTCTCTTTCATTTGATATTTCAAATTTCAACCACCACATTCTCCTATTAATCATTAACCAAATTTAGCAAAATTGATGAATTAAATAGGTTAGATAATAAGTCAAAATTAGTTTCTTTTCTATTCATTAAAAAAAAATTTATTTTATTTTGCCTTGAGCTATATCTCAAAGATACCTCTGACCTACCCCTCACACCGCTCTAGCTCAGGCTAAGAGACAGCCGGTAGTGCTCACAAAGAGCCCGATATATATATATATATATATATATATATATATATATATATATATATATATATATATATATATATATATATATAAAAGTAACCAAAAATCATTCCACATATTTGATATTACAATCGAATGTCTAATAACTTAAAAGTAACCAATATACAATGAATGTATGCCGAACTACTTGAGGGCATATAACTAACAAATTCCAAATCTTTGATGTAACGCAATAACTTGCAAGGTTTAATGGTGGCACCATAAGTTACTAAATTCCCCTTTCAATCTGAGATATTAGGAACAAGATGCTTGAAAATTTTAGTTAATTCATGAAATCTAATCTAGGTTTAGGATAATAAGTACGAGTTAAAATACGTAATGAGCATAGACGTTCACAATAAGGCAATTTGAGCACCCACCTCAATCTTTATGTTCAAACGTTTTTGGTTGTCGTTCTTCAATCAATGTTTGGACTCTCTGCGTTGTTACATATTTTTCACAATGAAACAAGAGAAAGATAATAAAGATTTACAACCACATTTTCAAGAACAATAGTGAATTGAGTTTACCTTAAGAGAATTGTCGACTTCCTCTAGCTTTTGTAGTATTCCAAATTCACCAACAGGAGAGAGAATATCACGCCTAATGGATTTCAAGGGAGACATCTGCCATTTACCAAGGGATAAACAATGACATATACTAAACATTTTAGTACACTGGTGAGAAATTATATGATGCATACCGGTGCAGCATATGATTGGACATTTCTTGAAGAACTGGCATCTTCCAAGGTTGAAACTTGCCTAGAGAAGGTTTGATTTCTCATTTCTGAAAGTCGCATCAGCACAAACTGGACAAAATCATTAACAAACATGATACAACTTTCAAGTTTCAACATGTAATCAACAACAAATGGCGTTTAATCTAAGGATACCTTTTTGAATGCTCGAGGATCGACAATGCCTTCAATTTGAACATCATCACTTGGAGGCCTTCTTACACCAACATTCTCAATTCTAATGGAGTAGACACCATAACGAGACTGTAGATACCCTGAGAATAATGATTTTTAGAATCAACAAGAAAGATAATCCAGAAGGTCATGTAAAGATAATGGAAGTCTGATTAATCAATTTGGTGTTAGATAAGAACATATTAACATACCCTGTTCGATCACAACATCAGCAACAGAAGGTAACAGGACATGTTTCTCTTTCTTCAAGACCCCAAAACATGGAAATGGAACTGGCTTAGTTACCTGTGTTATAAAAATTATCACAATCACTGCTTGTTTGCCATTAATCGAAAAGACAGCATACTTGTTGATGAAAATTGATTACTTTGTAAACGATGGAATTGGGGGTGACATAGAGCTTTCGTGATTGTATCATACGCCGGAGTATGTATCGACGAACGGGAATGTACAGGAACATGAGCAAGCCGAAACCCCATGCCAAAATCAATAGCAACGAATAAAGTATCCACTGTGTCGTCTTAAGCTTTATAAAATCATCCTCAGCTTCTTCGAAGCTTGCAGAATATAGTATGGGCTCATCGTCATCTTCATCATCGTTAGCTTCACGCGTGTCGGACAACAACCCTTTCTCCAGATGATCAATCTCACCAACCCCACCGTTTTCTGATTCCATCTGAAGTGATCAAAACCCTAAAATCATTAACTTGTAAATAGAATTTCTATTGATAGATGGAATACACGAATCGAATTGATGAACAAGTACCTACCAATGTGATTTCTATCAGAACAGGTATGCAATGGAATCACTGATTTTGTTTCTCGTTTGGTTTGGATGATTCACTGAAGAGTTTGACTATTATGTTCAGACATGAACTCATATCAGAAATTTTCTAAGTTACAGGGGGTAATAATGTAATATTTAAAAGTTGGAGGGATACTAATGTAGTTAAATAAAGTCAGGGGGTTGTTGGTGCACTTTAAGCAACGAAATTTCCGAATGTTGTCGTCACTAAATGGTACGCAAAAGGGTTTTATGGTATAAACTATAAACCCTAGTTTATTAGAAGCAGCAACGAGATACGAAATTAGCAATGGAGGACGCGAAGTTGAAGAAGAATAGTATTGGGCAACCAAAGGAGATTTTCGCTTCCTGTGATTTCTCTAGTCTTGGGCTTCACCCTGCCTTATGCGACCAGCTTCGAGGTATGTCTGAGCATATCTTCATAAGAACACATCATATGCGTCCTTTCCGATTTCCATCTCCAATTACAATGAAACGAGTAAGGATTACGGTAGTTCCACTAAGGAAAAAGGATGAATCTTGCGACTTGTACTCCCTCTTTCCCACGATTGGATCGATTTTGTAATCGTTTGAAAGATGGATGATGCTTTTCAGTTTACCTCTATTGTGACTTGAATTACTTGCTTGCATTGACAGACAGGATGGGCTATCAAGCTCCGACATTAGTTCAAGCTCAAGCTATTCCAGTTATTCTCTCAGGAAGACATGTGTAATTTCCTCCCCAATCTGTGTCTATTTAAATCTCTTTCATTTCTTCGTTTTTCTGTCCACCTTTCTAATCTGTTGATTGTTTTGCTTCTGAATTAACAATTACAGGCTCGTTAATGCAGCTACAGGCACAGGCAAAACTGTAACATACCTTGCTCCTGTCATTCATCAGTTGCAAAAATGTGATCCTAGGATTCAGCGATCTGATGGTACTTTTGGTATGTGCTCTTGGTCTCCATATGAATTATTGTTCCATCCATTCATTTAGGATAAGAAACTTCTTATAAAGTTTGAATATGTTCCACCATTATCTTGCTAAACAGAAACATAGAAATTCATGTTTCAAGGGATGCTAACTTAAATTCAACTTTGATAACAGCATTGGTGCTTGTTCCAACACACGAACTATGCATGCAGGTATATGAAAATCTACAGAAGTTATTGCACCGATTTCATTGGATTGTTCCAGGTTATATAATGGGTGGTGAAAACAGGTCAAAAGAGAAAGCCAGGTTGCGTAAAGGTAACAACTTTTTCACTACTTATTTCATCAAGATTTAAAAAAGACCAAAGTATTTCCCTTTCAGTTTTCAACAATTATAACATAAACATGATCATTTGTGTACAGGAATATCTATTCTTGTTGCAACTCCAGGACGTTTACTGGACCATTTAAAGCACACAGAAGCATTTGTTCATAAGAATTTGCGCTGGATAATATTCGATGAGGCAGACAGGTTCGATTTCTTGAATCCCATTTGTGAAACTGTATTTCTTTTCTTACATATTTGACCGTTTTCACAACCCATACAGGATTCTTGAACTAGGATTTGGTAAAGAGATAGAAGAGATACTTGATATTTTGGGTTCAAAAGGCAAAGATACTGAAGTTGTGAGACAAAATTTGCTCTTGTCAGCCACCTTAAATGAAAAAGTCAACCATCTTGCAAACATCAGTTTGGAAGATCCAGTTATGATTGGTCTTGATGACAAAAAGATTCAACCATCTAATAAGCAAACTACATCATTAATTTCTGATGCGATTGAAAGATTAGAGAATTCTGGGAAAGTATCAGTTGCTTCAAATGAGGAATATAATCTTCCAGCTCAACTGAATCAGAGATATGTTAAAGGTAATTAAAAAAATATATATATATATACTTTCATAGTTTCATAAGCTTCAATTACATTGTTCTTATAGTTTTACTCATATCCAGTACCTTGTGGCTCTCGTCTTGTGGTGCTTCTTTCCATTCTAAAGAATCTATTCACTGGAGAATCTTCTCAAAAGGTAAAGCCATCCTTACAAAGGTAATGATGTTTGTCTGGATAAAGTGCTGTATACATAAAGACTCTTTCTTTTGTGATTTCAGATTGTGGTATTCTTCTCAACATGTGATGCAGTCGATTTCCATCATGCACTTTTAAGTCAATTTCACGGATTATCAAACTCACAAACAGAAACAGAAAAGAAAGATCTATTTGTGCAGTGTAACATTTTAAGATTACATGGAAACATGAAGCACGAAGATCGAGTCAAAACATTCAATTCTTTCAAAACAGAAAAATCAGCTCTTTTATTATCAACAGATGTTTCTGCAAGAGGTCTAGATTTTCCAAAAGTCCGTTGCATTATTCAGTATGATTCCCCTGGTGAAGCAACTGAATATGTTCATAGAGTTGGAAGAACTGCTCGATTAGGTGAAAAAGGGGATTCCTTGTTGTTTCTTCAACCAATTGAAGTTGATTATCTACAAGAGCTTAAAAAACATGGTGTAATGTTAACAGAATATCCTCTTCTAAAACTTCTAGATGGTTTTCCTTTACATGGTTTAAATTTAAAACACCATCACCATGTGAAAAAGTTTGTCTCAATCGAGATGCATCCATGGGTGGTTTCTTTGCAGAGGTCCCTTGAATCCTTCATCTTTAAGGAGGTACGATTTCATTTCAACAGTATTGTTTTAATTCTTTGTTAAATTACGTTTTTGGTCCTTGAGTTTTAATATATATATATATTTTTTGGGTAATTAACGCAGGGGAAGATGAAGAAATTAGGGCAGAATGCGTTTTGTTCGTGGGTGAGAGCATACAGTGCGCATCGTGGGGAGTTGAAGAGTATATTCATGGTGAAGAAGCTTCACTTGGGACACGTGGCAAGAAGTTTTGGGCTCAAGGAACAGCCATCTTTGGTGGGTAGATCTGTCCAGAAGAAGCATACGGAAAAAAGGAAAAGAGAAGAGAAAACGAAAACACAGAAGAGAGGGGGTTTGGATTTGAAGAAGAAGAGAAAGACACTAACCGATTATGATTGAGACACGTGGCACTTTGTGACAGGTGAGATTGAGTTGGCAAGAAAAAATGTAAAATGGACCTAAATTTTGGTTTATTTATTTAATTTTATAAAATAGAGTGGAAGTTAATGAGAATCTGTGAATGGGTCCAGGGAGAAAAGGGTAAATGTAGCTTTATGTATTGGCTGGCTATGTGGGTGGTATGTCATTGATGTGGTGATGATGATGATGATGATGTGATGTGATGTGATGATGATGTTGAAAGTACGAATGACCTTGCTTTTAGGGTAATTCTAACCGCACGAAATAAATTCCAAATGCACGAATTTTTGATTGAATTGACGTACATCACTGTAAGTTTTGACAGTTTTTAATATATTAAACTAAATCAATGTTTACTTTACAATTTTCATTAAATACCCTTATATTTATAGTTGATTTTCATATTATACCTTATACTTTTTGAAACTTTAGCTTTTATATATATATATATATATATAGGTAAGAGTTATATGGAAAATGAATATAGAGAGATTTGATTGTATTTTATTAAAACTATATTGTTTTTAATGGATCTATACCTAATATTAGGTACATAACAGCCACATATTCCTTAAGCCTTATAATTAATGAAATTAAAGGCATTTAATAATTAATGAAAGTTACTAATTTATGTTTATTTTTTATTTATTTTATTATTTAATGGTTTTAATCTTGAACATCTCTCTCTCTCTATATATATATATATATATATATATTTATTATTTATGTTTATTTTTTATTTATTTTTTATTTATTTTATGATATAATATTAACTTAATACAATTTTTAATTTTTTTTAATAAAATTAAACTCAAATAATAATTAAGTTATTAGTTTAGGTTTTTAATGTATTTTATTATGTTTTTTTTAATAAAATTAAACTCAAATAATAATTATGTAGCATATTTTATAGTAAAATAGCTATGGATTTCGGTTTCGTAACAAGTATTCATGATTTAGCTACGGAATACAATTTCGTAGTCATTTTTGTAGCAAATTAGCTACGACCAACCATTTTGTAGCATATTTTATAGTAGAATAGCTACGGATCTTGATTCCGTAGAAACTTTACGTAGCTATTTAGGATTTAGCTATAAAATGCAATTTCGTAACTGTTTCCATAGCATTATAGCTACGACAAACCATTTCGTAGCATATTCCATACTAAAATTGCTACGGATTTTGATTCCGTAAATATTTTCCGTAGCTATTCAGAAATTTTATTGTATTATTATTATTATTATTATAAAGATAATAATTGAAATTTTAATAAAGTTATAAATTGGTCGATCAATATGAATTTTGAAAATAATAAAATATATTATTTTCATTAAATATCCTTACATTTATATTTGATTTTCAAATCAAATCTTATATTCCGCCGCCTCGATCGGGGGTATAATAGTTATAGGGCTTAAAAATAATTGACAAGTTAGTAATACATTATAATAGAACCCTTATCAACATTTGACGATAATAATAATTCAAAAATCAGTTCTTACTCGGCGGGTTACTAAAAATAATTATTATAATATGTGGTGTTTTATTGTTATAAGTTGTAGGGCGTAAAAATAATTTACAATTTACTAAAAATAATCGATAAGTTGTGGTGTTTTATGATTATAAGTTGTAGGGCGTAAAAATAATTGACAAGTTATAAGCGAGCTATGATGTATTTTAAGACGTGACATAAGACGTTAATTTATTATATATAACAGTTGACGTAAGAGTGGTTAAATATATGTTTCTAGAAAAGAGTTAAAAATTATTAAATTAATCGGTCGTTAAAATTATATATTTAAAATGATAAAATATATTATAGTAAAAAATAAACTTTATTGAAAATGGATTTAAATTCATAATAAAATACCAAACGTTAATATATATATATATATATATATATATTTATATATATATATATATATATATATATATATATATATATATATATATATATATATATATATATATATATAACAACCTCACGCAAGCTTAGATATAAAACCCTTTTAAACTATATTATTTTGGTTTAAATAGAAATTGTAAATGGTAGATTTGTTATTTCTTTTCTCAATTTCAAAATCCTTTAGTTTCTTTTCCGATTAATCCTGACTTTACTTTTGATGGTAACGAATTGGCAGCAAATTCAATTGCAAATTGATTTTGGTTTGCATCAGTTCAATAATATTCAGTAAAGAAGAAAAAAAATATTAGATACAAATAATAAATAAAGGTAATCGTATTTGTGACCTAATTCCTTTTGAAAAAACCAATCAACGCAATAAGTTCATACGTTACCAGTTTCACATTTATCTTCCTCTTACATAATTTTCAGTTTCAACTATAATATATATAGTCTATTAGGTGTTCGACAAAAAAATGTAATGTAAAAGGAAAATATCAGTGAAATTTCGAAAATATTGAAAGTACATCAAGTTAAGGTTGAAGTTTAAAAACATTATAATAAATCTATCAAACAAAACGTTGTATTTTGGTAAGTTTTAGTATTTAAGTTTATATACCCTTAAGTGTATTTTCACTTTTCCCATATATATATATATATATATATATATATATATATATATATATATATATATATATATATATATATATATATATATATATATATATATATATATATATATATATATATCAAGTAAAGTTATTGAAACTTGAGGGAATATAAGGGTGTATTTTGTAACATGCATCTAACCTAAAGGAGCTAAAATAAAAAAAAATAAAAAAAAAAATGAAATCGCCAAAATAATAAATATGATGGGATTGATTGTAATACACGAATATTTATTCGTGAGAATAGGAGCACTCTGCTTTTATTAGCCTAATCCTCTCGAATGGCCCATTGCTTTAAGAAGAATATGTGACTTTAGTTATGCCACATATAGGTGCACAACTTGATTTTTTATCTTCCAGATTCAGATCGGTTATAAAATCGAATCGGATCATGGTCAACGAAAGTCAAACCAGATATGTTGCTTACCATTAAATGATTAAATGATGTATTAGGTATGTATTTTTTTTAATGTTTTAAACTATTTATTGCTAAGTGAATGGTTGATTGATAGAAATGTATTTTTTATGTTTTAAAATGTTTTTGACAGGATCTTATAGTTTGATTCGATCTTACAATTACAATATTGCAAAATGGAAATCAATAATTATATAAAAGATTTTGATTTTGACAACCTTGATTGTTAGAACTATAAATATTATGTAACATTTTCTAAAAAGTTTCTTTTATATCTTTCAATATATTAAGGTTTATTTTGCACAATGCGAGTAGCACCGACAATGAAAAAATGTCGTCACAAACCTGTTTAAAACATATAGTATTTATTAGTGCACCTGTGACGGTATATATAATTGACATATTATCCAAAGATATAGAAAAACCTATTTTTCCATCAAATGACCAAAAAGAAGGGGAGGTGTTTGAATATTTTGACTATAAAAATTTGAGTTTTGTAGAATGATCAATGGATCCTTAGAAGGGGCTATGAGAAAGCCTTTTTATTTCTAAAGAATGTGAATAGTAAGGTGACAGAGGAAAAAAGGAAAAAGAAAAAAAAAAAGTTTGTTGCATAGTTCCTCCGAGGGGGCTTAGGTGGCTGGGGCTTTGAGGATTTGTTCTTCATCAATACACCTCTAAGGAACTATTCTTCGGCTAATGAAATCCCGATTTTTGTCATGGTTTATTTTCTTAAATTTAATATTACATAATAATTATTTACTCAATATTCCTAGAATTAAAGTGCCACATTCATAGATAGGAATTTAATATTTGATTTGATTAATAACTAATTACTTCAAAATGTTTGTAACAAGATTATTCTATATATATATATATATATATATATATATATATATATTATATATATATATATATATATATATATATATATATATATATATATATATCCTCAATATTCCAATTTTTGTCATGGTTAGCCGAAGAACAATTCTTTAGAGGTGTGCTGATGAAGAATAGATTCTCAGAGCTTCAACAACCTTTCCTCAGAGCCTCCTCTGAGGAACTATGCAACAAACCGTTTTTTTCCATACCACCTCAATTCCTTATTACTATTCACATTCATCAGAAGGTAAAAGGCTTTCACAGAGCCTTCTCTGAGGATCCATTGACCATTCTACAAAACTTAAATTTTTATGGTCAAAATGTTCAAACACCCTATTCTTTTTGGTCATTTGATTGAAATTTCTCTTAAAGAAAACTAGGGAGTAGTGAGTGAGATTGCATTTGAGTAGCATGATTAAACAAACACAATCTTTTTACCTATCTATACTAGCAAATGAGTGGGAAATGGTCATTTAGGCTCCCCTTTGGGGAAAAAAAAACCTTCAAGCAACTATATCATGCAAACCGCCAAACCAATGGCCACATTTTCAAACTGGTTCAGATGCCGGATCGGTTTCTTTTTCGGTTCAGATTGGATCTAAAGGGGATTTAGATCCCAAACCTTTTTTCGTGTACCTCAATGCATGTATAATGTAAGGAGCATGATCCCTATTAGAAATAAATCTCTCACATTGCGACTATTAGAATTCAAACATTCGATATTTACTTCTTGTATCTATCATCACGGAGTACCATTGTTATAATCAAAATAATGATAATTATAAAATTAATTATGAATTTTTTAGTCAAAATATTTTGTATTAAACAAGTAAGTTGGTCAATTAATTAGGATTCCGTACGATTGCGAATTGGTAGGGTAGGGTACGCAATTATTTATTTATTGATTTTTGATTTGTGTGTATATTGTGATGGACAATTGGACATTAACAAAAGAAAAGCAAGAGGAGACGTATGGTGGGGGTGAGGGTGAGGGTGAGGGTGAGGGTGGATCATGGATGTGTCGATCTCCAATACATCTTCTTCCTTGTTTCATCATCATTAGTCAACTAACTACAATTTTATTAGCATGTAAAAGCAATCGTGAACCATAATTTGATGGATTAAAAACAAGATCTATCGTTTATCATAATTTGATGTAATTGTTTGCGAAACTAGTTAACAGTATTAAAAAAATAATAATAAACAAAAAGTTTATTTAGTGAATTCAAAAATCAGTTTTAGATATCCTTTCTTTTCTCTTTAACAAAAACGACAATTATTTAAAATTGTATTTAAACAAATTATGTTAACGAATATTTTATATGCTTACAGTATATTCGTGACAATTTTGAATATGGTCACTTTAGACACTAGCTTTGTCCACGAGTCCCATAAAGATCCAAAAAATTTATAATGATATAATTGATACTCGCAACCTAATAGTTGAGAAGCTTAGCCTTTATAAAATTAAGTTTTAAACAAACAAATAGATGATTAATTTATAATAATATAAATATAAAAAGAAAAAACTAAAGTTGA